TTTGTCAACATCTAAATGAAGATATAATACTTGCTTTTATATGCATGAATTTGTACACATAAGACGGCCTCTTCATCAAGTTACTGATATATAATTTTTCACTTCTAAGTTTTTTACTTGAGTTCCAACCATAAATATATGATGATAACAGGAAAATCCCTCTTTGGACACTTCCCATTCTTCTGTTGGCAGTGACGCCTTTTAGTGTCACAAAGATTAAATATGTACTGGATATTATTGTGTCAAGCATCTGCCAGTCTATAACGGTCCTGTTCCAGCGAGCGAAATCCGAGTTCTCTACAGCACTGCCATGGTGGACAGGTCAGCTGACCACATTGAGCCAATCACAGTGCAGACAGTCACAGAGCACCTGCGACACCATGTGACCATCCTGGAGTGTGATGTCTTTGGTTACCTCAGCATAGAGGGAGATCTGGTGATTCTTATAAAAGCAATTACAAAGTCCCCTACACCTCTTCAGGTTAGTGCAAGATATTAGCAGCAATCTTTATATGAAGACTTGTTTGTTGAAGATAACTTTATAAATTAAATTATTATGTTTGAAAGACTATTCTGTATAATAAAAAAAATGACGAACAGTATGAGAATTGATGAAAGCTGTCAAAACATGAATTGATATTGACACATTTATTGAAATCCTTTTAAATTTACAAACATAAATGGGTTTTATTGAATAGATTCAGTGATGTCATCAAAATATGAATTATTCTAAAAGTAAGCTGTCATTTAAAAATCAAAATCTGGATTTTTCAGGTCCAGGCATGCAACACGGAGGCAGAAAAAATAGCATCCCTCATCCAACTTAAAAGTCCCTGCATTATGTCTGATCTTGTGCTATCACCTCTCATCACAGCAGACATACGGGGTGCTCAAATACAGACCTTGAACAGTGCAGCCAATCAAATCCCTTCATTGCATTTACTGCTGCTTACCTCACTGGTGGTGGCTCTGGTATCCAGGGCAACAGACTGTAGCTAGGAATGCTGGGAAATATATGAATCTCAGGTGGATGTAAGCAGTATATGATTTCTCTTAAAAATAAATGGGCTTTTGAGAAGATGACACTTTGAAAAGTGAATAAGATGAAGAAATTATTGCACCCGCTGCTTTCTCTACTTTATAGTCAGGGTAATTCAGGCCCTATGCATTCCAAAGACTAAGATAGTGTCATACACATCTTGATAGGTCATCCTCGAAAAACATGGCACTACCATGAATTTTCTTCCATCTTTTGAAAAAGCGTGGGCGTTATAGATGAGAATTTCCTGTTCAAAGATGGAAGACTTATTTTTATGTTCACACAATTCTGAAAAGGGACAGAGGTTCTTTGGATGGATGGAGTTTGTGATGTGATACCTCAATCAAGTGCCTTTACTGATCATTCTACAGAATGTTCACACTATGCATGTTAATTGGAAATGATTCCAAACTGGACTTTTTTTAACAAGACTGTGCACAGTGCCACTTTTTATCTGTTTATAAATTTATTTATTTTATTAATATTATTATCCTCTTTATTATTATTTACAACTTAGTGCAGTTGTGGAAATTTTCACAAAGTGTCTAAAGCGAAAATTTCACCTTAATGAAGTATATAAATGAGAAGAACTGTATTGTCACAGAAGCATCGGAAAATGGGGAGAGGATTTCTTCTGTGAATATGATATGCAAGCTGTAAAGAGGTGTATGTCTGCACCGGCTTTCATATCAAGAAAATAAGAAGATAGATGGTTTTGTATGCATAAACTACTTATTCTTCAGTGAGGCAGCAATGAAGTAAAATGAAATTGCAAGTGGAGGGAACACTTGCATCCAGTATCTGATAATCAAAATATCGAGAGGATGAACGTGAGTCAAGATGTTAACTGGTGGATGCTGTTCAAATGAGAAATGTTATTATATAAATCAATCTGTTCAGGAAATGCATTTGGGTAATGTTATTGTTAGGGCTGTCTTGAAATAAGAACCCTTGTAACGTCTGCTGCTGTTATTTGAAAAGATTGATAACGTAGATGCAAACTGACTTTTGGCATTTTTGTAAGCAGTGGCTTTTTTAAGGCATTTAAAGTAAAATCTTGTGTTTCAAAGCTTTTAATTAGAACAGTTTTCTCATTAGGTAATACATATGTACATATATGCATTTGATAATCATTTTGTACATAAAAGTCAGTTATGTGAAATACAGAGATGACACAAAAGATCTGAAATTAAATAGAGAAAAGAATAATATAAGATGCATCACTTCATTCATAATATGACATATTGTGATTAATATTGTGTACATGTTGCATTTTATGATAACTTTTCAGCCAATTATCTCATTCATATTTGTACAGGGAGGCTTTAGTGTTTTAGATGCCATTTTTTATCACCTGTTATATGCACAAATTGTATTATTTTACATAGAGCTGTGAGGACCATGTAGAAGTTTGTAGAAAAATATTGAGTGGCCTTATTTTCCTGAATATGGACGAGGAGATATGTTGTTTATCTTTTAAAAAATAGGTATTCAAGAAATGGAAATATTTATTTATTAATTACAACAAACATCTAGAGTTGAGTGCCATCTTTGATCCAAGTGAATTAACATAGTATAATTATCATTGTTATGAACTTTTGGAAACCATGGTTTTAGGGGTCACCTAAAAAAAGCATTGGTTCAGTGAAAATGACACTGATTTTAAATGCAGAATAGAAAACTTATGATTCATCCTTTGATTTTTCTTCTGCAAAACCTAGTTCTACTCTTTTTCTGGTTACATATTTGAAATGATGATTAATTCAAAGGTGGAGATTCTTCAAAATGTGGGTGGTATATTTTTAATTATTTACTTGTATGTATATCTACATTGCATATCAGGTAGAGCTTTTGATATTTGTTGCCAATAGAACAATCATTGTTTATTAGTTTGTAAACCATTTTAAATTACAATGTTTTTGCACAAAGTTCCGTGTAAGTATATATAATGGATTTAGTTTTCAACTGCTTAGGTTTTTAAACTTATACAAAAGATGACTGATAAGTATTTGCATATCAGAATCTATTTATTCATAGCTACCCAATATTTTGTTTTTAACATTCAGGATTTGTATAATACAAGAAGGGTAAACAATTTTTATGATCAAACAAATAGAACAAATATTTATGTATTCCTTTCCCAAAAGTGGCAAGGATAGTCACCAAAGGACCTTTTTTAATTGGCTGAAAGCTTCACAGACCTGCACTGTATATAATTACTGCACGTCATTGGTCACTGTATATAGAAAAGCAGAAAATCAAAACTAGTTTCTCATGTTGTTTAGATGTTTATTACACTGTTTTCTTACTGCACTATTTAATTGAGCTCAATATTGAGGACAATCACAACGAATCATTATGCAAATTGATAAATCACGTGTCAGTCATGTGATATTGGAAAATTGTTCAACTGCCCAGCTAAACCAAAGATCAAGATGATGAATTTGCTTGACAATCAAATGTTTGTTAGTATCGTGTTAGTGTACAAAGTGATATAAAGAATTATAGAGAGTTCATAAGATGAGTTTGCAATCAGTTGTATATACAGTACTATTAAAGTAGATCTAGTCATTTATGTGTCTTTCTGTACTTGGATAATGGAAGTATATTTTCTGTTAAGGATGTTTCCTTTCATATAATAAGCTACAGTTAACCAGTAAGTAATATTATTCGATATTTTTGTCTGGAATTAGTTTTACATTCAGCCTTCTAATAATGTTCACTTGATTGAATAGTGAAATATTATTTATTATTTTGCTACATTACGCTCCAATCAACTACATTGTATTGTAAAACAGACTAATGTCAGTAAGCAATACTACCATTATTTTATACAAAAAGTTCCTCTCTTTTCTGTAACGCCACCTTCGTATGATCTGTGTATATAATCTTGTAAATGCTGGAAACCCAAAGAAACCAAAATAAAGGAATTTAATAAGGACTGTTGTTTCCAGTTATGTGTCTTACGCCCAAACCCAATATAGAGTTGCATTTCACATGCTAAGGTATCAAAACATAACAATTGAATGAATTCGAAGTTGTATTCAACATATATTGTGACTGTCAAATTTGTAAATTCTTGCGGCGTGAATGGAATAATAGTGGCTTTCAGAGGTCGCTGTTGAAAATAACCATACAAATTATCAAATACAAGAAAGGATGTCTGCCAAAGGTGAACATATATGACATACATGTTTTGGCAACTATTTTGAACACTTTGATGGAGCCGCATCTATTCATGGCAAGTTTGTCTAAAAACGACAAAAATTTTTCTATAGAGCATACTATTTTCTGTTGAAGTACTTATTATGTAACGTTATTGACATGCGAAAAGAGCTTTATATATGGAAGACGAGACATATCCGGACAAAAACATTCAAAGCCCTACTAGGGCTGTATTCCCAGAGCTTTTATTTCGATCTATCCCCGCGGGGAGTCTCACTAGATTACTGTCAGATAATCCGGCTTAAATGTCCGTCCCGCCTACTACAAGCTGTAAGGGGGTAATTAACTTCTGTGTCCGCTCGGCTGACAGCTATTTAGCGTGAACCCCCAGGAAGTTAGATCGATCTAAAGTAGATCGATCTAATCTCTTGAAATGGGGTCCTAGACACCTAACTGTAAGCTTGAGCAGATTTGTCCTTTTTTAATGCCTATATTTAACATGAATCAGCAGGTTAATATTACCCCAACATTTAATAATGATTCCCAGAAATTAATTGGAGAAAAAAATCAATGATAATTTGGTTCCTGTAAGTTACAGCGAATGATATGACAATGAGTGTATTTTCACTGACCTGAAAAACGTCTGAAAGGTGTTGCATTTGACTTTGAACAATGAATAATACATAGTTTGTTTTAGGGAAGCGCGTATTGTACCACGTGTGAAAAGAGGTTGGTATCTATGATGGGAGATATTTCAATTAAAACACACAAAAACCTACACACCGCAAGCTTGAGCAAGCTTCAGTCGATCAGTAGTAAACTTTTCTGGTTCTTTTTTCAATGCCTGCATTTACCATTGATCGGCAGGTTTATATCATCTCAACATTAACTACAGAAAAAAATCAATGACATTTTGGTTCCTGTATATTAGAGTGAATTGTAAAACGACAAGTTTATTTTTACTGAAATGAAAAACGTTGGAAATGCAGCATGGCCAATGAATAATACAGAGGTTTTTATGTAATCAGCATTTAACCGTCTTTAACTGTTGATTTTAAAATAAAAATATTCAAAGACAACTTGCTTTTTTATCATAAGCTGTTATGATATTATGATGTAATGTTGTTGACCATCCAATAATTTTTAGAAGAGTTGTGTATTCTTACTGCTCTTTTATCGTAGTATGGCTTATCTAAAAAATAACTAATTTCTCTATAAATAAAGACTGTTTTCCCTGCAAATATCCATTAGTTGTTGCCGGACATTGTATCTTTTTTCATTTAACGCTCTTCAGGAAAGCCATATTTAGGGTATACAAAATTGATAAATATTGTTTAAAGAGAGGCGAATCTGTAACAGGGCCTGTAGACAATTTTTTTTTTTTTTTTTTTTTCGAAAATTCCTCTGTTACAAGAAGTCAGCCTTTGTGGCTTCTGGTAAACCTCAAGCTGTAAGACTATAATTTTCATGTAGATAAAAAACAAGATAGTAAACCACAACAATTCCTAATTTTGTTATTCATCCCAAGAGAAGCATAAAAAGACTTACAGTACTCTTTTCAGAGGTCAGTTGGTTGCAATTGATGGCATCTTTTATTTTTCAAAATTTTCCGATGGTCTCAAAGCAGAAACAGAAATAGACAGAGATGTATCTCAGGGGCGGGTTGAGGCCGTCTTCTGGGTCTTCTGGAAGACGCTCAGATTTTCAAGTTTACATTGACAAGTACCTGATTTTTTCTGTTGGAAGACGGTCAAAAATGAAGGATGGATCATCAAAGATAATTTGGAAGACTGTC